AAAGAAGTCGTGAAAATAAAATTTCTCCAGATCAAAGTAAAATTAGCTCCAGTATACCTTCCTGGTTATACTGGAGGATTGTTCCTGTTAAAGGGAGTTTTTTCTTCCCACTGTCACCAAAGCGCTTGCTCACAGGGATCATCTGATTGTTGGGGTTTCTCTGTGTTACTGTAGAGTCTTTAACCAACTGTTGTTGTGATGTGGTGCTGTACAAATAAAACTGAACTGAACATTAGCTGCAGTTCCAGCAACAAACACCCAGCAACAGATTAAACCTCAAAACATTTATATTTCTGCATCACTAACTGGATCTATATCAATTCCAGTGGCAACATAACACCAGCTGTTTGTGATGTGTTAAGGGTTCAAATATTGAGGAGGGATTCAAAATCACAACAGTGGTCCAGGAGGTCAAACGATGATTTTAATGAACACACGTCTGTCACACACTCAGCGTCGATCTCCGCCCAATGATACACAAGCAGTTGTTTTTATAGCATCGGGGGATTATTTATGACGCCCCTCAAGCAGATACATCACATGCATAAGTTTCAACACCACAAATGTTCTGTTGACAACTTTTGACACAGTTTGAAAAGAACATTTTCTTCGGGCGCTTCCGGTAGCTCATCTCGCTCTTGCTTCTCCAAAACCTCAGATAGATGCTCTGCAACAAAACGGTCAATTCTGCATCACTTTGTTTCACCTCTCACCTCGCCTACTAAAGCTCCCAACCAGACAGAGGCCACTCTCATATGTGTAACAATCGAACTAAAACTATATATGTATATATTGAATAAATGCTTTAATTAAATGCCACTACTCAAAGCTTAATAAAAAGAATATAAACGAATAAAAGATAATAATGAATAACCTGGTTATTCAAATAGCCTCATCCAGACAGCTCCTCAAAATAACCACCAAAACATGCACACTTTACAGAGGAAACAAAGACGTTTCAGAAGTACACTTCCTGACTGAGTCATCTGTTACCAAGCAAACTCAAACGCAGCAGGTTGCTGAATACACTCAGGCCTTTATTCAGGCCTGTTTCTAGATTATATGTGATATATGTATTGTAAGCGTGTATGCAATCCTTCCATTGATGGACTTGAGGCGACTTTTGTTGTAATTTGGCGCTATATAAATAAAATAAAATTGAATTGAATTGATTGAATTCCATACCTCTAGGCCCCTTACACGATAGATTGGCTGGACATATCGCAGCCAAAGCTTTTGACCTTCAATTAATAGACTGAGCCACAATTCTTTTATAGGCACAAAATGCAATGTGTATAAAATGATTACAGTTGCACCTGCAATGAAAGATTATTATACGATTATGATACCACCTGTAATACAGACTTTAATGTAATATCAACAGTTTCAATAAATGCTTTAATGCAATGCTTGTTACGTGGTTCTAATGCAATGATAATGACTTAATGCAAGGTTAATTAATGCAATGATAATGTTGATAAAAAAATAGCAGTAAAATAACTTGTTTCAATCCCACAGATGGCGTAACGCCACAGCTTCATTCAGTCATGTTGGTGAGAAACACTTAAATCAGGCTGTAAAGAATCAGTAAAACCTGCTCCAGACCAAGTTATGTGTTTATCATCAGTTGCTATGGTGATCTAGCAGGTGAAAAGATGAAAACAAGAAACCAACTTTAAGCTTGATGATCACACTCTCACCTCGTAGCACACAGTTTCAGTTTATTGAGGTTTGAGGCCGACAGGTCGCCACGTTTTCTTGTAACTAAATGTGTGAGACATGTTTACTGACCTGAGAGCAGCAGCAGGAGCGCTTCACCACACTTCATGACGAACACCTCGGAGTCTGTAAGCACTTCTTCTGCAACCATTTCATCATGGACACAAAAACATCATCAGCATAGAGGGACACTTCTTTATTATCACTGAGTTAGCTCTCACTGTAAACGTCAGCGTGTTGCTTTGTGGGAGTCTGAAGAAATTATTTTCACGTGTTTAGCATCACATTCCTGTGATACAGGAAGGAGGATAATCACAGGCCTTACATCAACCCTGCCATTACTCCTGTTTGTTTCTCCAAATTGGGACAATTAATGATCGATGGGACCTTCTAAACTGACCCATCCCACCAGCTGACAGCAGCAGCTCTGTCATGAACTTGAAACAGAGTTAAATTTCTGTTAAATCACTCAAACCAGACTTGAAGACCCAATGCACCAATGTGGCCCAATGAAGCCAATGTACAGATATTACAGACTGAACTTTGTGTTACTGAATGATTCTTCCATCAACATGAATTATTACTCATCACTTCACATGAATATGAGACAAAAGAGAATCTCAGAACGTACCTGCAGTGAGGAGATGGAGTCAGTGTGTTTGTCCACGAGACACCCAGACTGTCCCTCTAAATATACATCCATCCCTCCCTCCTCTTCCTCCTCTCTCAGAAAGTCATCAATAACGATGGAAAAACCCAGCACATGTTCTTAGATAGAAGTGTTCATTAAAGTCTATTTGGTTAAAAGATTTATGGAGTCATTTCTGAATGCAAAAGCAGGCATATAAATCTGAAGTTGACTTATTCACACTCATTTCAGATGCAAACGACTCTCAGACCAGAAGAGACTGTGAATGAGGTCAAAAGTGTGAAGCTGTTAAATCAAAGAGAAGTTGGGTCAGTTGATTTATTTTACTTCTCTCTTCAGTTTTACTCCATTAAAATGAAGTTGTATTAAATCTTATCATCATTTGTCAGTACAGACGGAAATCTTGGCATCTTCATTTGAATCTAAAGCAGAAGCATTTCGTGTGTTTGCATGGATACAGCACAGACTCTCTGCCTCACCACTTTGTGGTTATTTGAGTAAAGCTGTAATTATATTATAACTCTGATAAAAGAGTGCTCAGATTCAACTCTTCATCTAAAATGATCTGTGCTGACCGACTGAAGACACATTTTAACTTCTAATTGTACTGATTTGGCAGTTTTTATATTACAAATATTTAATATTAAGAATTTATTTTTTCTAGACTTTCCTACTTCTTGATTGTTTTCTCTGTAGTAATCATCACTTCACATCTTTTGTTTCAGTCAGGTTTCAGAGCTCATCACAGCACAGAAACAGCTTTAGTGAAGGTTACAAATGATCTTCTTATGGCCTCTGACAGTGGACTCATCTCTGTGCTTGTCCTGCTAGACCTCAGTGCAGCATTCGATACTGTTGACCATAATATCCTATTAGAGCAATTAGAACATGCTGTAGGTATTACAGGTACTGTGCTGCAGTGGTTTGTATCATATCTATCTAACAGACTCCAGTTTGTGCATGTAAATGGAGAGTCCTCTTCACACACTGAGGTTAATTATGGAGTTCCACAGGGTTCAGTGCTAGGACCAATTCTGTTTACATTATACATGCTTCCCTTAGGCAGCATCATTAGAAGACATAGCATACATTTACACTGCTATGCAGATGACACCCAGCTCTATCTGTCCATGAAGCCAGATAACACACACCAATGAGTTAAGACCTGGATGGCCGCTAACTTTCTGCTTCTTAATTCAGATCAAACTGAGTAAACTAAGTCCTGAATATTATGTCACTTATTTATGTGCAAATGTTGAATAACGAAGAACATTAAAACATTACTGTTGGCCACATGTCGGCAAAGTTATGTGACATTAGTGACGTTTGTACTAACTTGGTTTTAAAGCCTTTACTTTGAAATATACAATTTCTGAGCTTAATCTTACAGAGAATGATCAAAGCTCATTTGTTTCTAACAAACAAACATTTGTTTGTTTGTTAGAAACAAACAAACAAATGAACAAAAGATTTTCTCCTTCATTTCTGTCAAACAAAGCTGTATGAAACGTTTCCAGCTGTTAGTATCATGGTTGCTAGGCAACCTGGGCAGCGCGACGGAGGCTAGACCGTCCCACTTCACAAGCCTCGCACTTCCGGCCTTAGCGGTCTTTAAGTACACGGCCCTTGAGGATCGTTGAGGCTGCAAACTTTAAGGCTGCAGACCCTGAATTGGGATACAGCCCACCTTTTTCATGATCCAGGGCAGGTCTGGCTTCTTCTTTCTCTCTCTCATGTTGGCCAGACTCACCTTTGGCTCCACCTGCTGGTTAGCTGGTTTCCTTCACTTTAGCTGTCACACCTGTCTTCTGGCAGCTCATCACCCCTCTGTACACAAGGACCACTTCGAGCCTACACTCTCTCCCAGATCATTGTTGTGGAGATAATCATCTCTCTGACATCTGCCTTGCACTGAGCTCCAGAAGAAGCCCTTACCTGTGTCCCTGAGCGGGCCTGTTCCTGTGAACAGAAGAACTGTGTTTACTGTGTTTCCATCCAGCCATTCATTCATTTTCTTCCATTTCTTCAAGCTAAACTTCCTGTGTCCATGTCTCTGGTTGAGATTCTGGTAAAAACAAAAACAAACCTGGATTCTTTTCTCCAGCAAAAGATCCATCAGTGCAACCAAACACAGTTGTAGACTTTGATGACGTCTTTTTAATACTTTAATTTAGTGGTGACTTTAAAATCAGTGCATTTTATTTGTATGTGACCGAGCCTCCATCTTTGGAAGTGGTGCTGTGTGAGACTCTCAGAGCAAGTTTTGCACTTTTAGAGGAGATGCACTAAAACTGTAATATCATTCAAAAACACGCTGAAGCCAAACAAACAAAGAACAAAATAAAAACTATTTGTTCTCTATGATTGGAACTGACATGTGAAATGTGTCGTGTTGTGTCTTCATCATCACTGATTTGTTTGGAGGAGTCGAGCTTGAACGCTCTTTTGTCCCAATTCTAATAATGACAACATTAGTCAAATAAGACTGAAGTGGTCGGGCAGAGAATCAGCGCTGTATCCATGCAAACACATGCACAGCAAGCAAACCTCGGCCTTGGATTCAAATGAAGACACAAACATTTCCAAGTGTGTCCATCTTTGCTGATGATGCAGCAGACACGCTGACCTCCAGTCAGGAGGAGGAGGAGCA